AGCTGGGTGACACCGGCGAGCGCAGAACCTCCCGGGACCGGACCAGCTGCGGGACGGCGAGACGACTCCTCTGTGTGCGGATCCCGAGGCTGTGGTGTGGCCACCAGCCCACCCACTGAGGGTCCAGAGAGGGCTCGGAGGAGGGGAGAGCGGCGTCTCCGGGGGGGTCTCGAGGGCACCGAGGGGGAAATTCTGCGGCGCTCGCTGTCTTCCCGGACCCTAAGCACCGAGTTTCCACAAGTCGCTTCAGCTCAGAGGACTCCGGGCTAGTTCCAGCGGGACAGCGCTGAGACTGTGCTGTGGGGGGGCCTCTGATGTCAGCCGGCGGCTTTCTAAGGGCCCCAAGATCCTGAGAAAGGGTGTCTCACCCCTTCCCTCCTCCTTCCCCTCTTTCCTGTCTAGGGAAATGCGTGTCTGGGCTCATGTAGGCCTTTCCCTGACCCACTGAGCGTGACAGGAGGCCACCAGCCGCCCCGCACCCTTCACTCTAGCACACGACCAGCGTGTGTGCAGCCCGGAGTGCGCACCTGCACGCCCTTCCTTTGCCTGGAACACGCCNTCACACACACACAGAGTGAGGCTTCTGGTTTCCACCTTAACCTGCCATTAAGAGTCCGTATTACAAAAAGTATCTATTTTTCTGGTGTTGCTGACTCGCCACCCACAGGCCACATTGAATCCCTAGGCCTGCTGCACTGCGTTTTAAAAAACAGAAGTAGTTGCCAACATTTAATCAGATTTCACAGTGAAAACGGAGACTTCTGACTTCTAAAAAAAAGGAAGCTTCAGCAATCCTGGGCCACACTGTCACACTGCACCGATGAGACAAGAAGCAGCCTCCCCATCTAGACAGGCTCTCCAGGTCACTTCCGCCCCTGCCGGGACACTGCATCCGGACAGGTTATCTTCCAGGCCCCCGAGGACACAGTTACACCCCTTCCCCAGGGCATGCCCGGCTGCACTGAGCCTGCAGCCTACTGCAATGTAGGTGGTCAACAGGAATTTCTGGAATGAATACCAGAGCCAGGAAGCAGTCACAAACTGCACACCGAACAAGACCATGAGGAAGTGCTCGGCAATGTGCCAGCGTTCAGGGCCAATGCCTATCTCAGTCAGAGCCCCCCGCCCCCAGGGGAAGCTGGGAGCTGTCCTGGGGGTTGACATGGTTCAGGTTCTGCTATATGTCTTGAAATGAACCAATGATGTGGCATCAAGGGAGCTTGTCTAAGCTGGTCTGTGTGTCTGATCCAGCTAAGGGGACATTACGTGCTCCCCACTCACCCGGCAAGCAAGAACTCCAGGGTGAGGCGCCATCAGAGCAGACCGTCCTGACAAACACTCCCCTCATCCTGTACCTGGACAGGAAGCGAGGACCTCTTGCTGGAGACGCTGCTTCCCTAACTTTAGCTGATCCAATTCCACTCTCTCAATATTTTCCATAGTAGTTTGTCACTTGTCCTACTGTGGCTTTTTTAATATTTTCTTTAAATCAATTCAAGTAAGTTTACTGAAATGTATTTTAAAAGGTAATAGTATCCAGGTCCACAATCCCCCATCTGCAATTCCAAAGTCTGCAGTTTTTTCTAAAGTTTAAGACAAGCTTATTTGCCAGCCAAGCCTGACCTAACTGATGTGAGGCCATTTAGAGTCTCTATTTATGTCAGTTAGTGTGACTGGCCAGCAGTTTCTTAGCAGAAATATGAATACGTTTGCTTATTGGTGCTTCCCCAGGCGCTGCTGGGCTGTGAAGTTATCTACTGCACAGTCATGGAATGATCTTTCTAAAATCTAGGTAATTCTGAATTCTAAAATATACCTGTCCCCAGGGGTTTGGGATAGGGAACATGAACCTGTCATGGATCACAAACAGAAAGTCAGTGCCACTTGCTACAAAGAGAATGTAACTTTAAAAATAAATAATTAAAACATAAGTTAAAATTTTAAGGAAAAAAACTCTTAAAAAGAAAAACAACCTTGAAATGATCTCGTGCCACATCCGTCATCGGCATAGGCTCACCTCTGGTCTGTGCAGACCCAGTGGTGCCCCCCCACCTGCTTCCTGGTGAGATCTGAAATGGGGTCAAGCTCCACCTCTCCTAAGGAACTGAGGACCTACTTTGAATATCTCAGCAGGAAGGCATCTGATTGCTGATGGTTGGAAATACGGCATCAAATCCGTGTCAAGCACTCGGAGCTCTTCCTTCGTTAATCCGGCTGCAGAGAAAAAGGAACCACGAGGGTTTGGTTCGAGCCGGCGGGACTCAGCTTGTCTCATTAATGATGCTGCGGAATGTACAGTCTGCGTGTTCGAGGGGGCGCCGCTCCTTACAGAGGCCCTGAAAAGCCCTCTGGGAACTGAGCGCCCTAATCAACTCAGAAAAAATGTGGGTCACACTAGCCCTGACTGGTCTCCTACAATGAAATGTGTACCCAGAAGGTGCATTTTTAGATCACGTACAAACCTATTTAGGAGGCAGTTCAATCACATTCCAAACCACTTTTGTGCACACAAAACCACCAAGAGGTTTGCGAGCCCACCCTCTGTTACTTTACGTGCTGAAATCTAAGTTTTACTGTAACTATACAGCTGTTTGCTACACCACCACGGATTCTTTTTTCTGTCCCCAGGGCTAAGGTCGGGAAAAGAGAGAAAGGTGTGTTCAAGGTGCCTCTTACCTGCAATGGTTCCGAGTTCCTGCAAGACAGAGCTGGACCACTCAGTGGGATCCCCAAACACAACTTCTGCCTTCCTCTTGAACTCGGCCAAGACATGGGTGCTGCAGAGCAGGGTCCCGATTCTGGCCACCACCACCCTGGTTAAGAGGGAGGGATACGGTGTGGGCCTGGGAGACTCAAAAGGTGTGTGGAAGGTAGGCCGGCTCAGCATCAACAAAGGGTCCCGCTAACCCCACCCCCGTTTGAGCCCAGAAAGGAGGCCAAGCAGCAGCAGCAGAGGACGTCTTGCCGAAGGAACGACCCACCAATCGTTCAACATTTTGCACACTTAGTGTTTCGGTTACCTGAATTCTGAGATCTTTATAAGTGAGATTTCGGTGGCGTTCATGGCACACAGCATTGCACCAAGTCCTACTAAGTGGAAGCTCTTCAGATCCTGGATGCGATAGCCCGAATCCTCCAGGAATCCTTGCAGGATGGATTTAGCCTATAAAAATGAGGAAGGAGAGGAGATGGAGTATCCAGGGATGACCAAGAGGCCTGAGGGGACAACTCAGCAGCCTCCTGATGGGTCCCCCACCCCACTCCTGGACACAGTCTCCCTTCCAAACCATTGCCCCACTGCACGCAGGCTACCACGCTGGGTCTGTGCTCTGATCTGCGGAGGTGTCAGTAGGCAGTGAGGCTCTTGTGGCCTTCAGCAGCATTAAAGGAACAGGGTCCTGTGTCGTGTCTGCTGGCTCATCGCCTCAGTCCCTCGTGATGTTCAGACAGCTTGGACATTTAAGCTCTTCTGCATCAAGATCCAAACGTTTCCAACATCTGTTTCCACAACTTTCTGACAAAACCTTACACTCTTCTGCTTTTGTGCCTTTGCTCACATCAGTCCTTCCATCTGAAATGCCATTCCTTCATTCCCACTGTTAAATTCAACCATCCTTTTATTTGGGGGGTGCAAGTCCAATGTCACCTTCTTCATGAACTATCTCAGCCAGAATGAGTTTTTCTTTCTCTAAGGTCCTATAGAAATGTGTTTGCCCCCCACTCTTCAAATACATGGGATCTCTTCAATGAGCTTTCATGTAAGGGAGCTGATGTGCAGGGTCCCTGAAATTCTAGCATGGTGGCCATCCATTGTTCATGACCTTCCTGGAGAGTAAGTTTCCATCTCTGTTCATCCCGCCAGCTTCTAGGATAGGTTCTTCTTCCTCATGCTGGTTTTTAAGCTGAACTCTGTTCGTGTAGTTCCACCAGGTCCATCAACCTAGAAGCACGCACTTGAGGGTTTGATTGGGAGCTAATGTTGAGGAACTGAGTGCAAGCGATGTACGCAAATGTTAGGTTTCCAAGTTTTCCTCAAACATACCGGCAAATCTCACTGCCACCCATGTTAAAATTGCCAAGTTGAAATTGGTGCAAAAGGAAAGAGAGACTAGCTTCCAAGTTGGGTATATTTTTCTGCTTTCTCCCTGACTGTGACTAGAATGGTTTTAATCGCGAAAGTGTGGTGTGTGTGGCACTTCTCAAACCAGTCAAAAGCAATTTAGAGTCACAGAGCCCAGGCTACAGAATGCCAGAGTGGAAGGAACCTCAGATTGCTGGGCCTAAGGCATTGTTCAGAGTGCTTCATGTGTATCAGCTCATTTAATCCTCATGGCCAGGGCCTCCACGTTGCCCAATTCCAAAGGACACAGTTTACACTGTGTCCTACTTGAATGGTGCCACTCAGAGTTAGGTGGCATGAGGTCCTGACTACAAAGTTCCTGAGATGGGGGACAGGCATTGGTTTGCCTGCCCTCTCCCTTCCTTTGCTGACACCATGCCTTTGGCAAACCACTTGGTATTTACNCCTGACTACAAAGTTCCTGAGATGGGGGACAGGCATTGGTTTGCCTGCCCAGTGTCCACTCTCCCTTCCTTTGCTGACACCATGCCTTTGGCAAACCACTTTGTATTTATTTCCTCTTGCTGCTCTAACAAATTACCACAAATTTAGTGGGTTAACACCACACACTTGTTCTCTTACAGTTCCTGAGGTCTTAAGTCTTAAAATGGGCCAGCAGGGTGTGTTCTTCCCGGAGGCTCTAGGGAGAACTCATTTCCTTGCCTTTTCTGGCTTCTAGAAGTCGTCCACACTCCTTGACTCATAGCCCATCCTCAAAACCAGCAGCACAGCCCCTTCAGATCTCTCTGTGTCCCTCTGCGTCCATCGTCACATCACCTCTGTATCTGTGGTCCTCCTGCCACCTCTTAGAAGGACCCTGTGATTACATCGGGCTCGCTGGACAATCCAGGATAACTCCCCATCTCAGGTCCTTAAATGTATCACATCTGCAAAGTCCCTTTTGCCACAGAAGATAACACATTCACAGGTTCTATGGATCAGGATGCAGACACCTTTGGGGACCTTTCTGCAGCCCACCATATACCCATCCCCACTCCCAGCTCATATGGACATGGTGAGATGGACCCCACTCCCTGGCCAACCGACATATCCTGCCCCTGACCACAGTGACTGCTCAGAAGAGGCAGTCACGTGATGGCATCAATGCTGGGACTTTTCAAAGACTAATGAGAAAGGGGTAGTTTTTTGTGGGGTTGCTAATTAGATAATATGTAAGCCTAGTGCTAAAGATGACCGCTGAGGGGTGCTGCCTGAGAATGCAGATAACAGAGCAGCTGAGACTCCCCTTGCCAGCAATACAGTGGATTAACTTCCCTCCCAACTGAAACAAATTCTGGAGAGAACTTCTACTTCAGCCCTTGAAAGATTAACTGACAGGGCTCGCCCTCCAACAAAAACAACAATAAAACTGAACAATTATGTAAAATGGCTGTATTCAGACATTAGACAACAAGGAGCGCAGGACTATAATCCTGAAAAAAGGAAAGCAAATAAGGTGAACCCTAAAATTGCCCTGGTGCACTGCCCAGAGGCCGTTTCCAGGCCATGGAGCAGGGAAGGGAACCCAAACCAGGCCAGTGGTCCAGCTTAGTGGAGGACACATGGTCCAAGTTGGAGAGGTCAGGGAACCTATAATTGGTGGGGAAGTGCTGGAGAGGAAAATGCTGCACAGACAGAGCTCACTCCAGAGATCTGCAGGGAGGCCTTCTCGAGTCTGGCTGAGTACTAATCTACACAGGCAGGAAGCAAAACTCCACATAAATATCAGAAAGAGGCATCAGAAAGTAGTGGGCTGAACAATTCCCAGGGCTCATATGGAGCGAGAAAGAGTCCACATTCCCACCAGCCTGAGGAGAGAGGTCTTGAAATACATAGACCATTACTAGGCAGTATTCTCAGTCATGGGAATAAATTAACCACAGAATAAAGGTCACTCTACGCTTGCCCTAATCAAGCTCAAAAGGAAACCCCCCAAGTCAAACTGATCTGAAGGTAATTTAAATGTATGCCAGGGCAAAACCCAATACTCTTCAAAGGAATATAATTAAATCAAGCACTCAAAAATATAAAATTCACAATGCCCATCAGCCAGTCAAAATGATTAGGCTTGCAAATAAGAAAACATGGCTCATAATTAGGAGAAAAATTACTCAGTAGAAACAGACTCAAAATGAAAGTGATGATGGAATATTTGAAAGATGCAGCCCTGGCCAGTGTGGCTCAGTATGTTGGGTGTCATCCCATGCACCAGAAGGTTGCCAGTTCGATTCCTGGTCAGGGCACAAGCCCAGGTTGTAGGCTAATCCCCAATAAGGTGTGTGCAGGAGGCAACCAGTTGATGTCTCGCTCTCATATTAATGTTTTTTCTCTCTCTCCCTTTCCTTTCTTTTCCTCTCTCTCTAAAAATCCATTTTAAAAAATCTTTAAAATTTCAGCAACATCTACCTACCTGTTCTGGGGTCCATTCTGACTGCTGGCTTAGGGAAGCCACGGTGTCGATGGAACTGAGATCCAGCTGCTCCAGCTCACTTTCATTAAGAGCCAGAGCAATGCGGCCCAGGGAGACAATGTGGTGTTCTCTCCAGGAAGAAGGCATGTCCCAGACCTTCAGATGGAAGAAAGACAGGTTACACTGACCATTACTGACAGTGTTTAAAACATGGAGTAAATCTCTTTAATATATAAAGTTCTTTCGTAAATCAATAAGAAAAAAAATGATTATATTTGTTTTTAAAAATAGAAAAAAGCATGAAGAGAAAATTCACAAAAGAAGAAATAAACATGAGGAAAGTTCAGTCTTGGTCATAATTTTTTTAAATGTATATTAACAACAATCAAAGAATACCATGTTGGCTGATGATACTGATAAGGAGTAGAAAGAATGATCATTCATGATGCTGGAGAGATGTGGGGACAAAGGATACCCTCATTTGTTGATGTTGAGAATATAAATTGGTACAGGCTTTTGAGAAGGGAATTTGGCTATAGGTAATGAAATCTTTTAAAGTATTTATACTCTTTGACCCAGAAATTCTACCTCTGGGGATTTAACCTAAGTAAATAATGAGACAGTACCCAAAGAAACATGTGCAAATATGGACCTGGGGGTGTTAAAAAATATAAACAATCTAAAAGTCTACCAATTAGCTAAATAAATAAGAACCAGTCATAAAATAAAATACTATACAGCTATTTAAAATACTGACATAGATTTATATTTCCGATATGAAAATATGCCTTGTATACTGTTGTGTGTGGGCCGAAGTTGTTGAATAGTAGGTGAGTGTGATGCTATTTTTTGGTATGAAATATATAAATGTATTTTACACACAGACACAGAAATCTAGTGAGCTTCAGGTGGATATTCCAAAATATTAACAGCGCTTATCTCTGGGAGAAAGGTTACGACTGATCTTCTTGACTATTTCTGACTTTTCTATAATAAATTTGGGTTACCTATAAAAAGTAGTTATAAATATAATTTTAGGGAATTTAACGTCGTAGCCCACCAGGGTGGCTAACCATTCCACAGCTATGCTAACGGCTGAAACAAGCCGCTCCAAGGGACCTTAATGAAAATGGCAACTTCTCCCGTCCGCTTTTTGCTCCTTACTGCTCCGCTTCCAGACGGATCTGAACAGCTCCTGAGCGAAGCTGCTGCCCGCGGCTCTCGGGTGGGGGAACGGAAGGCGCACTGGCCACAAACGCGGGTCCACGCGCCAGGCGCCGCAGAACGGGGCCCGCGGGGCCGGGGCCGGGCGGGAGGCTGGAAACCCCAGCCAGGGAAACCACCGAGGAACCGCACCGAGAGCCCGGGGAGCTGCGCGCCCAGCGCGCGGGGTTCTCCGCGTTATGTTAGCCGCTCCCCCCTCCGGGCCCTACCTGGACGGCCTTCTCCTTGAGGGCCGCCAGCTGAGGCCGCCCGAAGCCCCTGACGGCGCCCAGCAGCCCCACGCCCCTGAGGAAGGCGCCTTCCTCCATGCAGAGCAGGTCCCGGGGCGCCCAGCAGGCGTTGGCCTCGGCCAGCTTGACGATGTCGTCGGAAGAGGGAGCCTCGACTCCATGGCAACCTGAAAGTGGGGAGGCTCAGGCACCAACTCAGGAAATGCCAGTCTGTCTTTCCTGAGATGAGTAACATGCGCCCCTGTCGGCTTTATTCCCGAGGGGCAGTGCAGCGTGGGAACCGGCGGCAGGGACGCAGGGACCAGTGTGAACCCCACTCTGCCATTTCTCGCTCAGCCACATGCACCCAGGGGACACAGGGACCAGTGTGAACCCCACTCTGCCAATTCTCGCTCAGCCACGTGCACCCAGGGGACGCAGGGACCAGTGTGAACCCCACTCTGCCATTTCTCGCTCAGCCACGTGCACCCAGTAGGAGCTCTGCAGCATCACAGCCAGGCGGCAAACTGCCTTGAGGGCAGCAGGAGCCGCTGGTGAAGATTCCGGCTGCAAATTCAAATCCAAAGCCACTTAGCCACTCTGTCCCTCAGCTTCCTCGACTATGAAATGAGGAGGAAATTCCCTTGTCAGATTTTTGTGAGGACTAACCGTGTTGTCGTATATAAAGCACTAGTGTCAGGTAGACCGCAAACACTCAATACATACTTTTTATTATTTACGCCACCTGCCACCTCCCCCCCCACACACACATTTGAGTTTGAAACCCAGAGCTAAGAGTTGCAGAATCATGAGAAAGGGTTGCTCCTGAAAGTGGGAAGGGAGGGTGATTTGCCCTCCATAAAAATCATAGAGGGGACTGTGGCCTTCCTGTCCCAGGAGAGAGGAGAAATGTTGCTTTTTTTTGCAACAGGAGAAACTGACCCATTTTGGTCTTTGAATAACTTGAAACTTACCTGGTCAAACCAGCTACCGACCCTCAATCTGGAAATGAGATATTGTCTTCATGGCCCAGACGTGCCCGACTAGGGAGAAAACCCAAGGCTCCTTGTCTTAAGAGCAATTCTGGATCCCCTGAGGCTAATAAGTGTCACCAGCACCACCCTAGCCCAGGGCATTTCCCAAGCCCTGTGGCCGCTCCCTTCTCATTGCACCTTCAACACAAATTCACTGGACTCCAATAAAGGGGTGAAACCGGACCAGGTCAAGAGCACCATGCGAGGTCCTCAAACATCGTTGTCCTAACCCCTTTGGAGAAGACAGAGACCCATCCCTCCTAATGCCCAATCCCCGCTTTCCAATGAAAACAGGGCCCGGCGACAGCACAGACCTGGCGGGACAGGAGCAGTGCAGGAGGGGTGGCCCCCGCCACCGCGGTGCTCCCAGGCCCGGCCAGAGCCGGCAGTCAGCACATACTTGTTGCATGAATGAGCGCACACACGGATTAACGAAAACGAAACCGAGCAGCGGTTCTGCTGACCCATCGGTTACTGTAAGAATAGCAGGAATCCTCACCCCAAACCCCTGACAGCTGGGACGGAGCAGTGGTAACCGCCCCCTCCGGGTGCGGAAAGACTAGGGTGCTGCGACGTGACAGCTGGGCTGCGAGGCTGAGGACAGTGGTGAGCTCCTCCACATTTGGGGACAAATCCAAGAGTCGGCCCTTATGAACGCTGCAGCTTTGGCCAAGTCTCTTCATCTCTCTAAACCTCAGTTTCCTTCGTCAAGGAAATGGAAGGGATGACAGGGCCCCCTCACAGGACAGAGGAAAGGACGAGAGCGCCCGGAGCGACCATCGCCAGAGATAAGCATAAACCAGATGCTAACTCTTCTTTGCTGGAGGCCCGCTGGCACCCCGCCCCGGGGCGAGAGCCGGGGCCCTTAGGGCTTCTTCCGAAGGCCCCGCGAGGCTGGCCTCCTGTCTCACTCCACTCCAGCCACACTGGCCCTCGTTTCCCCTTCGTCTCCACTCCTGTCATGCTTCCTTCTGCCCGGAAGGCTCTAAAACTCCAAGTACCCACGGGGCCCTCTCCCACGTTCCCTCGGGTCTTTACTCAAATGTCGGGTTCTCACTGAAGCGCCCCTTTTCAAATGACAGTCCCCCACCCGTACTCCCTGACCCCGTCCCTTGCTTTATGTCCCTTCTTGGCACTTATCACACAACATACTACTGTGTAACTTGCCATCTGGTTACCCCCAAACATCTGAAAGCGAGCTCTGTGAGGGGGTTGTGTTCTGATCGCACAGCCCTGCTCAGGAGAGCAAGCACTGGCTGCCGGTCACGATTACTACTATTATCAGGTCTGATTAACTTGATCTCCCCTGCCTGGCACAAGTCTGCACTGAGTAGGTGCACAATAGTAATAAAAATACTTAACACTTGCTGAGCATTTCCTACCTGCCAGGCACTGTTGGGAACGTGTCAGAGCTTTAAACCCATTAGTCCTCACAATAACCTAATCAAGCAGGGACTTTTCTTGCCCCCGTTTTACAGAGGATGAACACTGAGGCACAGAGAGGTTAAAAAGCTTCCCCAAAATCACACAGCCAGTAAGCGGCAGACCCGGGGCTCAAACACAGCCAGCCTGGCCCCAGCACTGCAAATGCAGCCGCTCAGCCATTGGGGCCCCGTTAAGTCAGCCTCTTTGAAATGCTGTTCCTACGTCCGCCTATAAACTGCAAGCCCGGGTCAGACATGCTGATGTGCTTTCAATCCCTTTACAGAGGCGGGGTCCCCTGGCCGGTGGAGGAGGCTCACCACAATGTTGCTTTGCCAACATTTCATCCAGTCCCCTAGCCGAGGAGGCCTCTTGATGCCAGCGACTCATGGCAGGGGCTCAGGGACCCCGACACTCACCAGGGCTGGGAGCAGGGCTGGGGCCCCTCTCACTGCCATTCCGGACAGATTCAAAGACAGCCCAGAGGAACTCTTTGGGGGGCAAGATCCTGGCCATCTTGGAGGCTGTCTGTTGAAGGATATCAGGAAACTGTGGGGCAGAGAAGATGAACATGGAGAAAGAAATAACAATTAAACACAAAGTGCAATCGGAGTGGCAGCCGTAATAGTACCTACGGCCTCAGGCTTCTCTTCCTCCTTAGTGGTTTCTCACCTAAGTCTAATCCCTGGCCCAGCCAACCCAGTTGCTTTACAGACTCCTATCAAACAGTGCTCGGCCTCAATAATAACTCAACAGATGCTCAAGGATGTAAGTACAGGTCATTTGCACAGGCTGGTCATGTGTGTGCATATGTAAGGCCTGGAACACACATGCGTGCAAAAAGAGCAGAGAGAAAATCACAGCTCGCAGGCCGTGGGCTAGTCAGCTGCCGCTCACTCCCTTTTCCTGCGCCTTGGCATCCCGCGCCCTTAGGGCAGGGAGGAAGCTCCAGAAAACATGCGGGCAGCAAGCCCAGGGGGTATAACGGACCACACTTTCCTCCCCTCAAACTCCTCAGCCTTCCGACGACAGAACCCAGGGTACCTTCATGGCAACAGAGCTTAACTCATCTCCTGAGAAAAGTACTAGAAAGGGTCCCAAGTCCTTCGTCGTCTCAGCTGTCCAGTCCTGAGGGAGTCTACGAAGAGAGAGAAAGCAATGAATTAGAAAGCCATGCTGCTGTCCTTGTCCCACAGCATTCCTTCTTTCAGAAAGAGACTGTCTTCATGTGTGGAGGGCCTGTCAATCACATGCTCCCAAATTCCTGGCCAAGCCAATGTGCATGTGATGCAGGCCGACCAATCAGGATCATCCCTAGAAATTTTGATGGAACTACTAGAGAAGCTCTCTCTCTCTTTCTTCTGGTCTCTGGAGTAGTAAAAAAGATATTGGAGGCCATTCCTATCACCAGTGGAGATAATAAAGCCACACCCAAGAACACAGAGCTGAGGGATAGGAGGAGAATTCCTGATGACATCATTTGAGCTCCTGGACCCCACCATGCCTAAAGTCCACCCCTGCAGTTTTCCATCACATTTGATTTCTGAACTCAATAAAGTCCCATTTTGTAGCTTGAAATGAATGATTAAATTTCTGTCATTTACATCACAGCATTTCCTTCCTCCCCTTCCTTGATAGAACAGTAATGATCTATCTGTTTAAATTACCGTAAGAGTCTTCTCTCTTACAAGACAAAATTTCCCCTTGAATTTGGCAGGATACTAACAGCACTGATACAGAATCTCCTGTTGTTCTTATAGAGACCACAAGTGTCTACAGTGAAGTCCTCACACCGTATTTGGTGACGTCCCTATAGGAGGTCTGCCCAGTGAGCAGTGACAACCCCTCTCTTAGGACCAGGCAAAACAACCCTGGCCAAAAAGCTCCCCCTTATCTCTTTGATTAAAAATATTATCCCAGCTCGGCTGGCATGGCTCAGCGATTGAGCATCAACCAACCTAGGATTCAGGAGATGGAGATTCAATTCCCAGTCAGGGCACATGCTCGGGTTGCCCGCTTGATCCCCAGTGGGGGCGTGCAGGAGGTGACTCTCTCATCATTGATGTTTCTCTCTCTCTCTCCCTCTCCCTTCCTCTCTCTGAAATCAATAAAGATATTAAAATATATATATACATATATGTATGTGTATATATATATAATCTCACTAGACCGTAAGCTCTACAGGGACAGGAACCACACCTGTCTCACTAACCATTCTCTCTTTGGCTCTAGCAGTAGACAGTGGCCACATACGCAGTCCTATGGGCCAGGCACTGTTTAAGTCCTTTGCATGCATTAACTCAGTTAATTGTCACACCAATCCTATGGGGACAATTACTGTCCCCACTCTACAGATGCAAAAATAAAGTGCAAAAAGTTAAGTAACTTTTCCCAAGTCGCACAGATAGAAACAAAATTTTAACCCAAGGAGTCTTGGCTTCCAACTCCATGCTCTTAAAGTCTATATAGTGGTACAGTGCCTGGGATACAGTGATTTCTCTAAAAACATTTGCTGTCTAACCATTGACTGAAAGCTATGCCCTGCTCAACTATCTGACCAAGCTTCAGAACGTTCTCCACGGGAAAGAACAGTTCCATTTCCCCAGGGCACTCACTCACCCAGAGCCGACGAGGCCTTGATTATTTATACCATCATCGGCATTACTATTATTTCATATCGACAATACTACTACCTCCTTGCATATGTAAAGTGCTATCTTTTCAAAACGCTTTCCCTTTCCGTGTGCCGAGACATATGGAGACAACCATGTGGGGCCTGAAGAGCAGCTACCATTGTCCTCATTTTACGGGGAATCTGAGGCCCAAAGAAGAAAGGTCACACTTGCAGAATAAGCCTAAGCGTCTGCCCTCATCCTGAGCTAGAGACTCTGTTTCGAGGGCAGGAGGGCCAGGGCTGGGTGCCCCTTGGCCAGCACAGCTGGGTGCCCACCTGGAGCTGAGCCCCCCCTCCTCACCCGTGCTGCTCCAGGAGCCTGAGCCTCACTGCAGCCTTCTGCTCGGGGCTAAGGTCTGGGCAGTCTCTGAGGCCGTGCAGGGCAGTGGCCCAGGCCCTGGGGGACACTCCGTGCTGGATGACAGCCGCTGGCAAGTGGCAGAGCAGGTTCCCCACGATGTCTACAGTGTACTCGTCGGCAATGGAGTTGTTCTGAAACCGACAAGTGGAGCTCATGAGAGGGCCCAGCAGGGCTCAAGATCTGTGATCCCTTAAAAACGCTTCCTGTCCCCAAGCCTCGTAAAAAATCTGAAATCTGTATCGCCTGCCCTACTATGGACTAGTAAAGATACCGCGGGGCCTGATCTCACCCCAGGAAGACCTGATTTTGCCTCTGGGGAGGGAGACCCCACAGGGAGCGAGTATGGACGGAGGCCTGGCACATGGTGGCGCCAGGTTAATGGGGGCTGTCACTTCTGTCATTGCTCTGAGGAGACCCCAGAGTTCAACAACCATATAACAATAGTACATAAATGATAAAAGCAGCACCTCCAAGGTTGTGTATCCCTTGAAAGTTTCAAAGCTCTTCTCGACATGACAAGAAGAGCTGGCATTTATGGAGTCTTACTATGTGCCAGGACCATTCTAAGTGTTTGCAGGTCTCAGTCCATCATTCATCTTCAAAGTAACTGTAGGAGGTAAGTACTAATACCATCCCTTTTTAAAGATAAAGAAACTGCCAGCTAGTGGCAAGGCCGGGTTCACACTACGGTGGTCTTCCCTCTGGGCCTTGGTACTTAACAACACCTTGCCTACTACATGCCCTTGGTAACTGTGAGAGAAGTGCTCTGTACCCATCCCGCAGACAAGGGACTCAGACTCAGGGGGGAAGGTGACTTTGCCACAGCCAAAAGCCAATCACCAGCAGAGGCAGGTCTAGAACCCAGACTCAGTACTGTGCTCTTTCCAGTTGCCCAGAGCGGCCTCCCATCATTCGGGCCCCGGAATGAGAGTCCCCAGGACCAGTGGCCATGGCTGCCCCACCAAGCGGCTTCAGAGTGAGCTTGGAGACCCACAGCAGGCTTGAGATCAGCCAGATCCCAAGGGCTCCCCAGGATGGCCACAGAAACGGAAGGGAAAGGGACATCAGTGAAAATGACACCCAGAAAGGTTCCTTACCAGGCACTGCTGCACTTTCCTGAGGACCAAATTCTTTTTGTGGGGATCTAAAACCAAGGAGTCCAACTGAATCTTCCCCAGGCTCATGAGAACAGGCACACATCGGGAGGCTGGGACAGCAGCCAGGTAGCGAGCCCTGGAGAGAGATGCGGAGACCAAGGGGAGGAAGACAGTAGCTGCCCTGGATTGCCCCGGAAATCAGAGCCTGCGTGCCCAGGAGCTGATCGCAAGGGTGTTCTTCAGGTGTTTTTTCTCCCAGTGACGCTGTGGCCCCTTTGGGCAGGTAACAAGCCTCCGACCCATCATGCGCCTCTCCTATGGATGGGAACCAAACTTCCCATCATGCTCCTCTCCTATGGACGGGAACCAAGCTTCCCAGGCTGCTCCTCTCCTATGGACAGGAACCAAGCTTCCCATCATGCTCCTCTCCTATGGACGGGAACCAAACTTCCCATCATGCTCCCTCCTATGCCTTAGCTGCACTGATCACAGAACAGTATCTCCATAGACATGCGCTGACTGATGGACTGATCGTGGAGAGGTGAGGAAAGGAAAAGAGAAAGTAGACAAAGGAAGGAACAAAGAGGAAAGGGGTTAAAGTGGAAAGTGAGGAGAGAGTGAAGAGAGCAAGAGAAGTGACCCCCAATCCATCCTCTCCAGTCCAGAGCGCCCCTAGGCTCTGGACTGTGCATCTCAGCTGCGCAACAGCGCCCCCGAGCGGGGAGAAACCGGTTCAGTGCAGGAGGGGGAGTGAAAATGTTATTACAATGATTTGTGACCCCGCCAAAGCTCAACCCTACTCAACAATATTATTCCTTGTCATTGCTCTCCTTAGGGAGAAAGTAAAATGCTCTCCTTGGGGAGGCAATAATGAGGTAAAGGTTGAGAAAGACTGCTCTAGACCCATGCGCCCCGGCTCATCGCCACGTGACTGTTTCGAGACCAAATTCAACATGCTCTTCCTCTGTGCCGTCCCAGGCGCCTTTTGCCCTTTATCCCGAATGCCACTGCTACGGCCTTACTATTACTCAAGTCTCTCCTTGCCTCTCCCTTCCCAGCACCGCCGCCCTATTTATTTCATTTCTTCACTCACTCATTCAGCAGATGCACTGTGCTGGAGACCAGCTACGACCATGAACAAGACATGAGGGGCGGGGCTCTGCTCTCAGGATGCTTCATTCTAATGGGGGGGG